TTGTCCTTGGCAATCTCTTTCTCTTCCATTTTTTTTCACATTGACTTCATTCATTCCTTTGGCTTCTACTCTTACTGTTATCCAAAAAATGATGGTGTCTGGCCCTGGAGTGGCACAGCCAGTAATCCACACCAGAGTTCAAGGAGAAGAAGAGAGTTTTAATCAGAAGGTGCACTAACGAGAGAGATGGATGGAATGGATGTCAATGACTTCAAAAATGCCCGCTCTGCTCAGCACTTACAATCAGGGATTCTTATACTAACAGAAAAGAGACACAGCATGCAATGAGTTTGGTTAACAATTTTCCAAAAGTTAGATAGAACAATGAGTAATTAATAAAGGAATGTTCCTTTTGAGTTCCCAGCAGTCAGGTAATCCTTAAGAGGTATCATCAGTGTTTGTCAAAGTCCAGGTGGTCAGTGCCAAAGTCCAGCCTAGGAGCCTGTAGTAGTTCAGTTTGTGTGTCAGCTTGGCTGGGACTGGTTGAGTGGCTGGGCAGCTGGATGTAGTATTCCCCATGATGTGATTGGTAATCAATTTTGTTCTGCTTACCTGGTACCGCTCTGACAAGAAGTATACCACAAATGGGATGGCCTTAACAAATAGGAGTTTATTCTTACAATTTGGAGGCTTTAAGTCCAAGTTCAAAGTGCCAGGCTCTAGGGGCTGGGTGAAAGCCCCTCAACCTAGAGGTCCAGCTCTGCTTCCTGCTCCTGGCCCACGGGAGCTAGAGGCGTTTCTTCACTCAGACAGCTGCTAGCTGCTGAGGCTGAGAAGCTTCAAGGTTGACAAATAAAAAGGCACAGTCCCGATGTTACCAAACCACACAGCAGGCCATTAACTTAAGTCCATTGTAAGTCCCAAGGTTGGCAGAGCATAGCAGGTTGTTGAGCAACAACAAGGCTACATGCAGGGTCCAAGCATGCCATAGGCTAGAGACCATTCTCAAAACTTCTCCTTATATACAGGAAGCAGACCACATACCCAAAGGCAGCTACTCAGCTGCTCATAGTTGATTCCACCACGGAGTTGATTTCCAGTCTCATCATGGAGAATACTACATCTAGCTGCCCAGCCACTCAACCAAGCCTAGCCAAGTTGACACACAAACACAACCACCACAAACTCCATGATGGAATCTACTGTGAGCAGCTGAGTAGCTGCCTTAGGGATAAGGTCTGCTTCTGGTATATGAGGAGAAGCCTTGGAAAACAGTCTCCATCTTATGGCATGCTTGAACCCTGCATGTAGGCATGTCTTTGTTCAGCAGCCTGCCATGCTCTGCTGGCCTTGGGACTTTCAATGAAGTTAAATTAGTGGCCTGCCATGTGGTTTGGCACATTGGGACTGTGCCTTTGTACTTGTCAACCTTGGGTTTGTCAGTCTCAGCAGCCAGCAGCTGTCTGAGTGAAGAAAAGCCAACAGCTTCCGTGGGCCAAGAGCAGCAGGCAGAGCTGAAGTTCAAGGTTGAGGGGCTTTCACCCAGCCCCTAGAGCCTGGCACTTTAAACTTGGACTTAAAGCCTCCAAACTGTAAGAGAATAAACTCTTGTTTCTTCAAGGCATCCCATTTGTGGTACATTCCTGTCAGAGTGGTATTAGGTAACCAGAACAGAGCCTTTATTGACACAGATGGCCCTGTCTTAGATCACAGGGTACAGCAGGAACTAATAACTGTATCTTAGAGAGAGAGCAAGTTGATTATAAAGTCAGATTTTAAAGAAATGGCATCTTAACTGGAAATATGGCTTCTTATTCTAGCAATATAGAGTCAGGCTTAACAAAGCAAAAATCTTTATCCTCACATTACCACAATGTAGGTGACTCTTCAAAATACAAAGCTAGTGTTGTTTTATCTCCTCTGGGCTAGGTCTGCATTTCCAGCTACTCATAGGACTTTTCCACTTAAAGGGCCCATATTTTATCACAAATTCAAAATCTCCAGTAGTTAGTCTACCATGTTTGGCTACCTCAATCTACTGTCTCTTCCGTTTCAGGTGAGTACGAGCCCATTCTTTCTGGCTCACAGGAATACAAATTTATTATCTCTTGTACTGATTATCTTTTTCACTCATCCCCTATACATCATTTATCATAAATTTTCTCCAAAAAAACACATTCCTTGGATTTCCCTCATTTCCACCACTAACACCAGTGCAGGACCCAGCACCTCTTGCTCATCGTTGGAATACCCTCTCATCTTCTCTCTCTCTCTTGCTCTCCCACTCCCATTCTCTTAGCACTTGCCATGGGGTGAGTGATCCCATCACTTCCCACCTCCAAAACTATTTCCCTGCTGTTTAGTAAGTAAAACACACACCCCTCTGGCTGTTCTCAACATACCATGATCCCACCCATTACCTCTGCTTCATTCTGTATGTAATTAATGGATTAAATCCACAAATCATTATTGAGTGCCTTCCACCCATGAGACACTGTGTTAAGTACAGGGCCATAGCAGGGAGCAGAGCAGACCAGATTCCAGTCCTCCTGGGGCTTGTAGTTAGTTCCTTAAGCAAGCCACCCTCATCCCTTCTCAGTCCCTTTACTCTTCCTCATCATTCCACTTTAAAAGTCCAACTTGTCTCACCTCTCCATAAAGCTGCCTTCAACCAACCAAACCACAGTGTCCAATCTCTCTTCAGAGTTCCCATCTGAGTTCTAAGGACTCACTTAAGTTTTCTCTGATCTTTTCTTTTATATGAATTTAAACTCCATAACTTGTTTTTAATACCTTAAACGTTGACTGGTTTTTATTCACTGCACTGTCACAAGCTGGTATTATTTGCCATTGTAGTAGTTGTTGTTGTTGTTGTTATGTGCCGTCGAGTCGGCTCCGACTCATAGCGACCCCTCCTTGGGTTTCCGAGGCAGTATCACTACGGAAGTAGGATTGCCCAACCTTCCTTCCGAGGAGTGGCTGGTGGGTTTGAACCTCCAGCCGTCTGGTTAGCAGGCAAGTGTCTTAGCCACTATGCTACCAGAGCTCCCCCCCCCCCAGTAACTATTGCTAGTCTGTACTTAGTCATTAAGATATAATTAGGATAATACTATGAACCAGTCACTGCATGAAATGCTTAATATGCATTTTCTTATTTAATGATTCAAGGAAGACTTGTTTAGCCATTCACCATCTGTGGTCTCAGGGAAGTGAGGTTTGCTGTCTGAAATTCAGTTTCATCATCTGCAAAATAAAGAGCTGGATCCCTGCTTTACAAGGTTATTTCCAGTTCTAGTGCTAGTTCAATTCAATTTCAAGCCACTCTTTTTTATGGAATTCTTACCGTATTTTGTCATAAAACAAATACGACACAGTCTGTCTTTAAAGTTTGTACTTTGTAATAACAGGAAGCTGGGAGTATCCCAGGAGTAGAGAACAAGGGAGACAATTACTCCACTAGGGGAACATCAATCCTAATTAGATGCTTCCTGAAGGAGGACAGATTTCCGTTCAGTTTAAAGGAGGCAGTTGATAGAGTGGGAGTACGGAGGCACCTCTTGGCGGAACTAACTCGTAGGCACAACAGCTATGCAGCAGTGAACCCAAACAGAGCTGTGATTAGGACCAGCACACCAGACATTTTTCTGTGTGCTAAATTTAAAGTGGTGAATGATACTGTCACTGCTGTAAGATAAAACAGGAGAATCTCAATCGTATCATTGAAGTACACAGATCCCAAAGTGCAACATCTGAATATGCAAGATGCATCATCAAATTAAAACCATTTCTCTTGGCATCTCTCATAAGCCGAGACTCATAAGCCACCGGTAGCATTCATCCCAAGGGTGATGATACATCTGGAATCTTGTCACAATACAATGCAATTAATTACCATTACAATTAGATGAATACTAACTTACCCACTGCCAATAAGTGGATTTTGACCGATAGTGACCCCCACTGGGTTTTCAAGGTGGTAAATCTTACGGAAGTAGATTGCCTCATCTTCCTTCCATGGAGCTCCTAGTGGGTTTGAACCACCAACCTTCTGGTTAGTACTCAAATGCCTTACACTGCACCATCAGAGCCCCTTAGATAAATATTCTTGTTGTTATGTGCCGTCGAGTCGGACCCGACTCATAACGACCCCTCCTTGGGTTTCCGAGGCAGTATCACTACGGAAGTAGATTGCCCCATCTTCCTTCCGAAGAGTGGCTGGTGGGTGTGAACCACCAGCCTTCTGGTTAGCAATCAAGTGCCTTAGGCACGATGCTACCAGAGCTCCTAGATAAATATTAGTGTTTAATAATAGTGAATATTTATTTATAGCTCTCCTTATTTCATAGAGGACTTGAAGGGGTTTGCAAAGATATTCATCATGCAATAAGATAAAAATACAAAAGATGAAAAAGAGAAAATGAAAGTGGAAATAAAGGACTGAGGCCAAAGGAGAAGTCCACATGCCCAAGAGCTCTGAACGCTTTGCCAGAGGTGGGATGGATATTTGGGGCTCATCTTAACAGCTAATACAATTCTTTTTTGCCTAAAGAAAAGTTTCAATATTTTATTATGATAATGTAGTACCCCTTAGATTCCAAGTTTTTATTCTGAGTCTTTTCCTTCAATAGATAGGTGGAGATTCTGGATAGTGGAGAATGCTGTGTCTTTCCTGATATTTAAATGAATTCATTCGAAACAAAACCCAAGAGCAAAACACCAGCCCAGGGCTTTGTGTCTGAGCTTCTGTGGCTGAGTTGCTAACGCACCAGTGCTTTTGTTTAAGGAAACCCCAGTTCTGAGGTCAAAGAGAATTTCCTCTTTCTGGAAAACACAATTGTCATTTATTATTTTCCTCTAGGAAAGGCTTTTCTCTCTGCCTTCCACACACCCTTTTCCCAAAAATATACTCTTTTATTAGTTTGTGCAATCTCAGAGACGGCTGTTCCAGTCCACCCAAGTTACTGGGGTATTTATGTCGGAAAACAATGGGGCACAGAGTGATGGTTACAAGGTGCTGGCCTAGGCCTGACCTGGCTTTCATTCTTGTCTTTTATTGGTAGTGTGAAGCAGCATGAGCGCTATGGCCAGCTGACCCTGGTCAACTCCACTGCAGCTGACACTGGCGAATTCAGCTGCTGGTTACAGCTCTGCGACGGCTACATCTGCAGAAATGACCAGGCCAAAACAAGCTCCACCTACATCTTTTTCACAGGTAAAATGTTTTGGTGCATTAGTGCAGCTCTTCAAACATCCTGACTTGACCTAGAAAAAAAGAAAAAAAAGCACAATCTGAGCATTCATTGTTTGTCAGGCTTTGGGCGCAGTAAATTGATTATTTCAGATCAGTCTCTTTAGGGTAAACACAAATATCATTCCTACTTTTCAGATGGGAAGTTTGAAGTGTAGAAGGATTAAGTCATTCAAGGTCACACAAGTAAGTGGCAGAACCTGATTTGAAGCCAGAATGGTCTGATTCTGGAGTCTATACCAACACTGTCCAACATGGAAGCTGCTAGCCACACGTTGGCACAATGGTTAACCCAAAGATTGGCTGTTCGAACACACCTAGCGGCTCCATGGGAGAAAGACCTGGCAATCTGCTTTGTAAACATTACAGCCAAGAACACTCTATAAGGCACTTCTACTCTGTCATGTGGGGTCACGATGAGTTAACTGACAACAACCACCTGTGGCTATCTAAATTCAAATACAAATTCATTAAATAAAATTGCAAATCAGTTTCTCAAAGGAGCCACTTTTCAAGTGTTCAGTAGCTAGGTGGAGCTATCATACTGGACAGACAGTATCATCACACAAAGTTCTACTGAACAGAGCTGCTCCATACTTTCACTCACTATGCTTTCAGCGCCTGCAATCATTTCCCTTTTGGAGAGTCCATATTCCTAGGATGGCTGGCTCAAGGCTTCCGTGCATTTGTTCTTATGAGTACTATGAGCTAAAGTTTTGGAGATAAACATCCCAAGGGTTGAGGTCAGTGGTGTCTCTAGGACTGGTGTCACCTAGTATCGTAACTCATGGTGTCACTTCCTCCTGACCCCCATAGACCTTCTCCCATACCAGACCATACAGAATCCTCAGTAATTTATATTATCAACTTTAATCATAGAATAACATATGATAAATAATAGTTGTACATTGCTTAAATGTAGTATTTCTTAGATTATATAAATACTAACAACAAAATTGTTTTGTAAAATCTTTCTATGTTGAATTATGTTATTAGTTACAGTGTTATTAATAACTGACTGGAAGCCTTTTCTCATTTTCCTTCTTTTAATTACTAGTTCTTTCTCAAAAAAGTTATTGCTATTGGTCCACAAATACTAATTACCACAGTATTACAGCTGAAATACCAGAAAATTTGACAAAACACCGAGGATGACAACAACAGCACATTCTTCTAGATTGGGAGGTCACTCGAGCCTGAGTGAGGTGCCTGAAAATAAGCAGGTCAATGGAGAACTCTTCTCCCCCGCAGCACTAGGTGTGTGTTTGCCAGATGGAGCCTGCACTCAAAGAAACATGCTTTGCAGCATAGCTCTTCAGTCTCCTTCCCCTGCAGAGCTCTCTAAACTCTGAAGTTTAGGGGATGAAGTTCTTCAATAGGGTTCAGAAGTCTGGAACAGCTTCAGGAAGCCTGCAAATGCCCCTCCCTCCTCATGCTGTTATTGTCCAATGAATTCCAGTTGAAGCCAGAACCCTTTCTTAGCATCTGGATGAGTGCTTTTATGAGATTTGTCCATGTGCCTAAATCCATCTACCTGTCAGACATAGAGTAACTTAAGCTTGTGACTCAAGTGATCTTATTCCTTGGTCATTAATTAACGCTTTAGCAAAATCTTATGTATTTTTCTCTTCCTTTCCAAAATTCTCCTCTCTGTCAAGAAGATACATTAGTAGAGCACTCTATAATTCCAAAAGTATGCACAAATATATTTCATTTCACTCCAACAACAGCCCCTGTGAAATAAGTAGAGGTAATTTTATTACCTCTAATAAGGAGCTCTGGTGGTGGAGTGGTTAAGGAATTTGGTTGATAACCAAAAGGTTGCTGGTTTGAACCCATCAGCCACTCCATGAAAGAAAGATGGGGCAGTCTGCTTCTGTAAAGATTTACAACCTTGGAAAACCAATGCAGGTCACTATGAATCAGAATCAACTCAATGGCAATGAGTTTGTTTTTTTGTTTTTATTTTAGAAACAGTGATGCTGATGCAGAGACTCAAAAAGGCAAGGTATATAATGTTCCATGGCTTGTAGTGACAAAGTAAGGATTCAAACCTTATACCAATTTGAAACTTACAAGTAATATAATATTAATTAATCAGAATGATCCAGGGGAAAATAAAAGGATTTAAATAATGTGCCATGGGAAAATAACTATACCAAACAAAATCAAATTTAAAAAACAAAAAACAAACAGAGTTTCTTGATTGCCCAAAGGAAAGTATTGGTAGATCAGTCCTAATTTCTGGAAGATAAAAATATCACTGTCTATATCCTGACTCTCTAACCCTGGATCCAATGTTACTGCCTAAACTCTGGGACAAGGTGATGGATGGGTAGATAGATAGAAAGACAGACAGGGAAACACTAGCTAGCATAACCGGTGTTGCTCAGGAGAATTGCTAACTATTGTTAATAGGCAATACCTTCCAACTTTCATTTTGGAACGTGCTACCCAGAATTGCCCATGTGCCAATTGTATTATATGGAGCTGTTGAAAAAACAACCAATTAAGTCTATTAAGAGTCTGATATTCTGGACGACTGATAACATACTTCAGATTGAAGAATGAAGATTCTTTGGCAAGATTAGCACTGTTGGTTTAGATTTTAAACTGAAGGGTTTGCTTGAGTAGAATATCTAATTAGGGTTATGGGTTCTTCATTTGAGTTGTGGAGGCTGTGGTAGTTAAGGTTATGTGTCAGCTTGGTTGGGTCTGGTTTTGAGTGGCTGGGCAGCTGGATATAGTGCTTCCCCGTGATGAGACTGGTAATCAGCTCCATGGTGGAATCTACTGTGAGCAGCTGAATAGCTGTCTTAGGGATGTGGGCAGCTTCCAGTATATAGGAAGCAACTTTGAGGATGGTGTCTGCAACTATTTGGCACATTTGGACCCTGCATGTAGCTGGATCTTCATCAGTAGCCTGACATGTTTCCTGCCGATCTTGACT